AGAAGAACAGAAGAACAGAAGAAGAGAAGCAGAGAAGCAGGGCAGCATGTTTCACCTCATCCACTCTTCACTCTTGGAGATGAACAGATGAAGAGATGAAGAGAAGAACAGAAGAACAGAAGAACAGAAGAACAGATGAACAGATGAAGAGAAGAAGAGAAGAACAGATGAACAGAAGAACAGAAGAACAGATGAACAGAAGAAGAGAAGAACAGAAGAACAGAAGAAGAGAAGAAGAGAAGCAGGGCAGCATGTTTCACCTCATCCACTCTTCACTCTTGGAGATGAACAGATGAACAGAAGAAGAGATGAACAGAAGAACAGAAGAACAGATGAACAGATGAAGAGAAGAAGAGAAGAAGAGAAGAACAGATGAAGAGAAGAAGAGAAGAAGAGAAGAACAGATGAACAGAAGAACAGAAGAACAGAAGAAGAGAAGAACAGATGAACAGATGAACAGAAGAAGAGAAGAAGAGATGAACAGATGAAGAGAAGAACAGAAGCAGAGAAGAAGAGATGAACAGAAGAAGAGAAGCAGAGAGGAGGGGCAGCATGTTTCACCTCATCCACTCTTCACTCTTGGAGATGAACAGCCGATACTTCATGGCGCACTCTTCAGTGAACAGTGAACGAGATTTACTCGCGTGAAGAACCAGCTTCTGTCTGAGAGACACACAGTCAGACCTTCACAATAAAAGCCCAGAGTTCCGTCTGTTGCATTGAAACTTACTTATCAAACTTGTGGATCTGCTCCTCGTTGTACGGTAAACCTGCAGGTGAGATTATTATCAACATTTCTCTTTGTGCTTTGTTCATTTGTCTTTCATCACTTGATGACTGATGATCAGTGATTAAGGACAGTCAACAGCTGTTTCAGTGTCTCACGTCTTTCGGCCTTGTCCTTCTTGAACTGTTGATAAATCGCGGTGATGGCGTCGAGCAGGACTTTGATCTTCTCCACACTGCAACAACACAAACTCACATCACACAACGTCTACACCAGACATTAAAACGTGTTCTGGTGGAGACACACACACGTGTCTTACTTCCTGTCTTTGGGGTGCGTCCCCACCTGCTGCGTCCAGCCGTCCGTCAGGAGGCCTCCTGGGAGAAACTTACTCTTGACGTCTTGTGTCGTTCGTTCAATCGGCTCCAAAGTTCCAGAGATCTGCAACAAACACACAAATTATTACACAATCATTTATTCTGGTTGGTTTCTCAGTGGATCATGTGAATAAATCATAAACATGTGACACACACACACACACTGAGAGACACACACACACAGACACACACACTGAGAGACACACACACACAGACACACACACGTTGTACTCACTCTGACGACCTTCTTGTGCATGTCTGAGATCTCGTCGTACTCTGACGACAGAAGGTTCGCCTGCATCAACACCTCGAACCTGCACGGCCACATGGGACAGTTAGAGAGAGAGAGAGAGTGTGTGTCTGTCTGTGTGTGTCTGTCTGTCTGTCTGTGTGTGTCTGTGTGTGTCTGTGTCTGTGTCTCACTCACAGCTGCTCAGCTCTCTCCAGTATCTGTGTGCAGTAGTTACACAGATGGAAAACCTCAGACTTCTTGTGTTGGATCTCACTGTAGTCCTCCTTCATCAGCTCACTGTGACACACACACACACACACACACACACACACACACACACACACACACACACACACACACACACACACACACACACACACACACACACACNCACACACACACACACACACACACACACACACACACACACACACACACACACACACACACACACACACACACACGTGGATCTTTAACGAGTTTTGAGAACAACTTGAGAAATGATTTGTTTCACGTTTCGTTCAAACTCACATCAAACCTCGAACTCCTTTCCTCACCAGCTCCTGATAAACCAGCAGAGACTCGGAGGTTTTCCACAAGTGACCCACGTCGCCTGCAAACGTCTGAACGACGACAGGAAACACGTGAAACAAGCTGTGAGTTAAAGCACCTGTCGGCCAATCACAGAGCAGGATCCTTACTTCCTGGTCCTCTAACAACCTGAAACTTCCTGTTTGCTTAAAATCGTCATTGTGGTAAAAGTTGAACTTGCTTCACTGAAACTCTGCGTCTTTATTCTACGTTTTGTTTTGATGAGTTCGTACCTTTGCGTAGCTGGCGTCCAGGTCCAGGTCGTAGCGAGGCTGGACTTTAGGAGGACTCGCTGTGAAGACACAAACACTCCGAGTTAAACCTGCGTCCGTTTCCTTTAAGTCAAATATTCAAAATGAATCTAGAGCTCTCACTACGTACGATCTTCGAAGATGAGTCCGACGGTGGCGACGGACTCGCGGCTGACGAGCATGATGGGATTGTCTCTGGACGTCTTGGGGAAGGTCTTGGCCTGGCGGTTTGGGTCCAGGACGATGCGGCGGCCCTCGTACAGCAGCTCCTGGTTGTGTAGAGGGATGCTGGTCCTGCGGGACAGCAGCTCCTGGAACAGCGCCGCCCTGTGGACACGTTGAGAACAACAGCCTCAGGTCGACGTCTAAACCAGATCTTTATTATATATTTAGACAATAAAACTGAAACACTGCAAGAACGAGAAACTGAAATATTCAAGTTTCATTATTTCTAGATTCAAGTTTTTTAAAAATAAAATCAAAAATACTTTGAAAGTTTGTAAATAAAAGATAAAAGTTGTAATTAGAACAAAAACTCAATAAAACAGATTGTCTGTGACTGTGTGTGTTTGAGTGTGTGTGTGTATGTGAGTGTGTGTGTGACTGTGTGTGTGACTGTGTGTGTGTGTGTGTGTGTTTGAGTGTGTGTGTGTGTGTGTGTGTGAGTGTGTGTGTGTGTTTGAGTGTGTGTGTGTGTGTGTGTATGTGTGTTTGAGTGTGTGTGTGTGTGTGTATGTGTGTGTATGTGTGTGTGTGTGTGTGTGTGTGTGTGTGTGTATAATTGATGATGATCAGGTAATGAAACCAGATGTTTGTGAACATGTGACGGAGGCCCTCCTCTCACGTGTTGTACTCGTGGATGTAGACGTGATGCAGCGTCGCCTGCTGCAGACTGAACACGTAAACCACGGTTCTGTGCAGGATGTCGTTGGTCTCGGCGAAGAACTGGTCGAAGCCCCAACACTTCTCCTGATCGGCCTCCAGGATGTTGGCGAGAACCGGAGTCAGGAGGCTCTGCAGACCCCTGAGACACGGAGCAGAGCCGGCAGCACAACGTCATCACTGAGACACTTGAACGGCAGATTTAACGTGACGCTAGCGGACGAGGTCGTACTTTGACAGACTGCAGGACACCGGCATCTCCGTGCTCCACTCGATCTTCCCGTTCTCACACTTCTGGTGACCGGAGATCGTCCCGGACGGTTTCTCTGTGATGATTTTATACCTGAGACAAACAAACACCTCCGTCACTTTCATGTCTTCTCTTAACGAACGACTTCTCCGTCACGTCGAGCTCTTACATCACTTCCTTGTTCCTGCGCGGCCCCTCGAACGGCCTGAACGGGAGGCTGCCGGTGGCGGCGTGGTAGAAGGTGACGCCGATGCTCCACAGATCCACGGTGGCGCCGTACTTCTTCTGGTGATCTTTTCTCAGCACCGCGCGCTCATACATGTCGGGATGCTGCGGAGCAAACACGTGAAGAAGAGATGAACTTTCCATGAACTAGAGAGATTTTCTCCAACTCTCACGTCTGTTCAATGAAAGTTTTTTATTCGAACCTGTTTCTGCTCTGAGCTGGAACTTTATTCTAAGTTTTATTCTAAAAGAAAAATCTTTTTGGTTTAAAACCTAAAGAAGCAGCAGAGTCTTGAATTTAAGAAGCTGAATTCATCAAATCTTGAATCAATGAAACTTGAATAAACTTTAACCACATTGTACTTTTTACACTCAGCACTAAACAAACAGTTTTTAGTTATTTGTAGTTTTAAATATAATTTAGAGCAGAAACGATCGAACTTAAAACTCAAACTGACGATTATAAGAATGAGAAACACGACCAGATTAAAATGATGGTCACTTCCTGTCGTCTCTCACCAGATATTCCTCGGTGCCGTACAGAGACACAAACTGCTCGTCGTCCTCCAGCTCTCTCGCCGCCCCGAAGTCCGTCAGTTTGTAGACAGAGCAGCCGTCCTCTCCGATCACCCTCATGATGTTTCCTGGTTTAATGTCGCGATGAACGATGCCGTATTCTCTCAGGTGGTTCATACCTGCCACTGGAGGAGCCACAGCCAATCAGAGAGCGGCACAGAGTTCTAAAGTCTGATTTTCATTATTAATAATCGACAGCTCGCGTCTCTTCAGTCGTCTCATTAGGTTTTTACACATTTTAAAAAGTGCATGAATACATTTCTCTGAATCTCTGAACGTTCTTAAATCAAACGTCTCTGACAGTTGTTCTTCGTGCAGTGGATCCAGACTCAGAGACGGTTTCTCACCGACATCGTGCAGGACGATGAGGAACTCGTCCTCCGGGAGTCCGTACGCATTGGACGACTCCTCTAACACGGTGTAGAGACTTCCACAGGGACAGTACTCCATCACCAGCACCTTGTGGCGAGTGTTTGACTGACGACAGGAAGAAGAACACGTTACAAACTACTTTCAACAAATATATAGGGCGAGAATGTTTCCTGGACACCGACCTCTTCCTCTACAGCGAAGAGCTTCACAATGTTTTTGTGGTTTAGTTTCTTCAGAACCTCGAACTCTCTCATCTGGACGTCGAGCGGCCGCAAAAAACTCAGGTTGTTGAAGACTTTGACGGCGTACAGGTCCCCGGTTTTCTACAAAACACAAAAATGAGAAATGATTAATATATGTGTGTAGAAAAAGGATGATGTTACTTGTTATATAATTATATAAAGTTAATTTATTCTACAGCAGATCAGCTGAACTTTAGGAAATGTGTTAAAATGGAGAATATACGTTTAATCATATATAAATGTTTGTGTGTGCATTTAAAATCTGAATGAACCTGATTTAAATCTTCACGATTTTTGATCTGAGACAAATAAACTTGAATATTTGTTCTTCAGACTCGACGGTTCACATGAGACCTCCTCTCTTTGTTCAGGTGAAACCAAACACTCGGGTTCAGACGGATCCTCAGACTCTGACAGGATCTTGGGGAAGTTCCCGCTCGTCTCAGCCTGAAGCTGAGAAACACTGAGTGAAGAACGGAAGGTCGAGGAGGACAAACTCGAAGACAAAGAAAAAAAAAGTTCACTGAACGAGCATCTTTTCATTTTCTACTTTTTATTTCTTCTTCCTGTCGTCCTCCAGTCTGTGACACAGGTCACATGACCTCTGACACTGTCAGGCTCTGTGACGCCTTCACGATGAAGCGCATCAATATTTTTCAGTTGTGAGCTCCGTCTCCAGAGACTCGTCTCCAGGGTCTCGTCTCCAGAGACCCGTCTCCAGAGTCTGGTCTCCAGAGACTCGTCTCCAGGGTCTCGTCTCCAGAGA